AGAGGGGGAACACAAGCAGGGGGAGTGGGAGAGGGAGAAGCAGGCTCCCCGCTGAGCAGGGAGCCCGATGTGGGGCTCGATCCCAGGACACTGGGATCGTGACCTGAGCTGAAGGCAGACACTTACTGACTGAGCCACCCAGTCGCCCCTCAAATCAAGATTTTTTGAAAGTCCACACAAATCCGTGTGGTTGCTATCTCCTAAATCTGTAATCTGTAAACCCCCCCCCCCTTTTTTTCCACAGGGTATTCGTTGGGACTTGAACGGGCTTCCTGGCTGCCTGGTGTGGAGTCGGCGGGGCGGGGGCAGGGAGGGCAGTGGGAGTTTGTTGCAGTAATGCAGGCGAGGGTATAGGAGGTTAGGGAATGTGGCAAGGTCTGAGATGGAGGAGGAAGAGTCCAGGGTGGTGGCTGCTAGCAGTGGGCTGGGGGCTGATGGTGCAGACTCCTCCAGGGAAGGGGGTGCAGGGCTTGGGTTTTGCAGGATGTCTAGGAGTTTCCCACTGGGATTGGAGCAGGGGGCTTGAGCAGCTGACTGTCCCTCTGGGTCTCCGTTCTGGGCCTGCTGAGACAGGGTTCTGCCTCCTCCCTTGCTCTGACCTTGGCCCTTTCTCTGGTTTTGCATGGGCCTCCTTTCTAGGAAAGTACCACTGCCCAGTGCTGTTCACCGTGTTCACCAACAACACCCACATTGTAGCTGTCAGGACCACTGGCAACGTCTACACCTATGAGGTGGGTTCTCAGGAACTGTGTCACATGTAGGCTTTTCAGGTGTGTGGCTCAGGGCAACTCTGGGCTGGCGCTGAGTATGCACCAGGCACTGTGGGCACAGCCTGGCCCCGTGGAACCTATGTTCTGAGAGCTACCAGTGCAGTCAAGAAGAGATGTGCCTTTCCTGCGGCCTCCAGACCGGAAACCTGGGGCGTGGTTTTGTACCCCAGGGGTCTGCCCCACAGTCTTTGTCTTCGTTGATCAGGCCCTGGGAAGGAACCTGTGCTGTGAGGGCAGGCCCAGGCCTGAGGGGAGTGCCGAGCCAGCACCCCTCTGTCCCGCTGGCGTTTCCCAGCGGGGCAGATGCAGGCTGGTCGGCAGGCCCCGCTCCCCACCCCCAGCCTGCTGCTCCGGGTGGGCCGGCAGAGGGCACAGCAGCAGCCGTGTTGGCGCCGTGCGGCAGGGAAGCCCCCTCTGAGCTGTTTTCCCACCTATCCCTGGCTGTTGGCAGGGTCTGGGTGGCCAGCGCTGCCCTAGGGGCTCCGGGGTCACTTTTGCCCAAAGAGTGCACAGATTTGGTGCGAGGGGTTTGGTAGAGCTGCATGGCCGGCCTTGTTGAGCCCGTTTGCTGATGTCCCATGTGTGTCATGGGAGTGTCCTTCGGTGAGCCTTGCTGAGATGGCTGATTCAAGTCTCCGGGGCTCAGCAGGCTCCGCCCTCCATGGTGGGGTTCTCGGCAGTGGGCACGCGGTCGGGCCCTCCTTTTCCTTAGCCCTGGAATGGCGCTGGCACCCACCCAGGGCCAGGGTTGGGGCAGGCACTGTAACAGTGGGCTCCCTCCTGGCTGCAGGCAGTGGAGCAGCTAAATATCAAGGCCAAGAACTTCCGAGACCTGCTGACGGACGAGCCCTTCTCTCGGCAGGACATCATCACCCTCCAGGTGGGTGCCCTCTGCCAGTCCCACCTCCCCGCCCAGGCTCTGGGGCCTGCCTGGTTGCGGTTTCCCAGCTGCCCCCAGCTCCTGGCAGCGCCCCCAGCCGCAGCGCCCCTGCTCGCTCTCAGCCCGGGTCTTCACACTGGGGCTTCCGTCTGGCTGTCACGTCTCTCCTTCCGATGCCCGTCCTTGCTGTGTCAGGGCTGCTCATCTCTGCCCCCAAAGCCATCTCCGTATCCAAGTGGGAGAGGACAGGATGCTGTGTGCTCTGCCCCAGCGTTGAGCATAGGACGTGCCTCTAGGTGTCAGCCCTGAGTGGGTTCCTGAAAGACCTGGACTTAGAAACTCCGGAGGTGGCCTTCGTGGGCCGTTCCTGTCCTTGGCGTGTCCCATCCTCATCAGCGGTCCGTGTGTGCTCCCTCCCACGGGGTGGGCTCGCCGTCACCAGGGCCCGAGGCACTGCGGGCTTCGTGGCAGCCGGGCTGAAGGGAGCGTCGGGGGGTGGTGTGGGAGGCCTAAGGTGGCTGCCCCATGCCTGCCCACATCCCCTAGATGGATGCCCGTTCGTGCTCATCAGCCGTGTGCCGGGGAGAAGGGGACACAGTGTGCCACTGTCCCCACCCCTGCTCGTGGCCCTGCCTGGGCAGAGCCCGCCCCTGACCCCTGGTGCCCTCCATTTCCTGCTCGATACCCCAGATCTCTGTGCTGCCCCCGGCCTCTCTCCTTCCGGGCTTAGGACCCTCAGGCCACCCGCCCATCCTTTGCTGCCCGGCTCACTCTGCTGTGTGTGTTCTTTTTGCTGCAGGACCCCACCAATTTGGACAAATTCAACGTCTCCAATTTCTTTCATGTGAAGAATAACATAAAAATAACAGATCCTGGTAGGTATAACTACAGCTGGCCTGGGTGCCAGGGGTTTGGGTGAAACAGGTCAGTGCTTTCTGGGTAAAGCCCTCACCTTGCTGGGGGCGGGAGCATCCAGGAGCCTTGCTCAATCCCAGACCGGCTGATGCTTTGCTTCTGTGCCAAGGTTGGCAGGACTGCACTCGCCCACACCCGCCCACAGGGAGTCCCAGCTGGGGCCCATATGCTTGGTGCCCACAGCCACATATAGCGGAAGCCTGGCTCCTGCCTCCGCCCCAGGGTCCCTTGAGGCCACATCCTCTCCCAGGTCCTCCCCTCGCTCCTTAGAAATTGTCTCTGTTCCCACCTGCAGGGATGGGTGAAGAGTGTGGGCTGCTGGGTCCCTCTGGCGTGGACACAGGTCCTGGGAGGGGGCTGTGACTGGGGCCAGGGCACAGCTGGGGACAGAGTCCAGAGCTGACCACAGCCGAAACTGTGGGCAGGCTGACTTGCCATCCTTGCAGGCTGTTGCCTCAAGCTCTTCCCCGCACCCCCTCCCCTGCATCGTGGCCACCAGGAAAGTGTCACTGTGTGGAGGCTCGGGTTACTTGGCCTGCGTCCTGTTCCGGGCCTCTGTTGCAGCTGGCTTTGGCCTCCTGTCCCCGTCACGCCTGTCTGGGGACATTGCTGGGGGATCAGCTGAGCAGGGCCACTGTGCTGTTTTGTAGATGAAGAAAAGGCCAAACAGGACCCATCTTATTATTTGAAAAATACAAACGCCGAGACCCGCGAGACGCTGCAGGAGCTCTACAAGGAGTTCAAAGGAGACGAGGTCCTCGCGGCCACCATGAAGGTCCCCGAGAAGAAGAAAGTGGACAAGCTGAATGCTGTGAGTAGGCAGAGGGCCACACAGCTGCTGGCATAGCCAGCCTGCCCATCCCAGCCCCTCAGAGGGGTCCTGGGGGAAGGGGGTCCTGGGGGAAGGGGCTCGTGGGGGCCCTGGGGTACATTTGAAGGGAGGTAGCCGGGACCCCTCAGAGCCCAGCTGCTCCTCGGGGGCCCGGAGGTGGCCTGCATTGAGGCTGGGGGTGGCAGGTGCGTGTGCTGGGGGCCACACGGGGTCTGTATCTCACCCTGGCCTGAGTTCAGCAGCCTGGAGTGGGTAGGCTGGGTGGACCTCTGCCTGGTTACCATGGGACACTGCAGCCTCGGGACAGTGGGGAAGGACAGAGCTGGTCACGTGGTGCCCAGAGGAAACCCAGGGAGAGACTGCAGGGGTGTTTGAGGGTGCCGTGGTGCTGAGGGGAGGGCACAGCTGGTGCCCACTGCCTGGGTGTCACGTTTGCTTCTCGCAACACCCACCGGTTGGCCCCGGGGCCCCCAGTTGGCAGTGATGGTGCCAGGATTTGTGCCCCGGCCTGTCTGGCCCCAAAGCTGTTCCTTCCCCTGTTCAGGCAGGGCCCTGGGGGGTAGAGGGGGCTCGTGGCGCCCAGAGAACTATCCAGGAAAACTTCCAAGAGGAAAGAAAGTTTGTTCACAGTCCCACCCCTTTAAAACAATAGCACTTAGCATTTTGGTGCATTTCTTTCTAATGGGGAGAAATCCCCCTTTTTTTTCCCTTCTCTGTTTAGGATAAAAATACAGCATATTGGGGTTTATTTTTTCCTGATTAAAAAAGCAGTGTGTTTACTGTAGAAGATTGAAATCTTTGAAAAGGAATTAGAGTCCCTCATACTGTGAACCCCAGCAGTGACCAGTTCCTAGTTCAGTCCAAGGTCTCAGTTGCCACGAGAGCCTTGGCCACTTGGGCCTTAGCCTCCTGCCTGGTCCAGGCCCTCTGTCGCACGTGCCCCCGCTCGGTCCCCTCACTCCCTGAGCCTTTAGGGAGAGGGCCAGGCGCCCCAGAAGTCCCTGTTGGGCTCTGTGGGTGGCAGCCAGGGACAGCTTTTTGGAGGAAGGGCACCAAACGGCCCCGAGCAGTGGGGTCCCGGCCTCCCGGGCCGCTGCTCATGGGCCCCCTGGTTTCCTCTGCAGGCGCACTATTCCACCGGGAAGGTCAGCGCCTCCTTCACCTCCACCGCCATGGTTCCAGAGACCACGCACGAAGCAGGTAGCTGCCCGTGCACCTCCATCCGCAACAATGCTGCCTCACAGCGGCTGAGGGCGGGCGTCCTGCCCCCCCCCCGCCCCCCTCCCCCAAGCATCACTCCATCGTGCCTGGCCCTCACGGGGGCTTAGGCAGCTCCCACGTGGTCAGGCAGCGACAGGCCCTTTCAGAAAGTGTGTGTGTGTCTGGGGGGCGGGCAGAGGCTGCAGCAGGGGCTGGGCCAGGGGCAGGAGGTCCTCCCTCTACCCATCGGGACTGCACCACCCAGGGCTCCAGCCCACGTCCCACCTCAGCACCGGCCCCGCACCCCTTCCTCTCGTTTTTTTGGCCTAACAGGTCCCCTTCCTCCCCACTGATCCCCCGGCTTTTCTAGTACCTGCCCCCCCCCAGTTGCCAAGCCCCACCCCGTTCCTCTACCGCTAGACCCACCCTGTCCTGCGGCCAGGGTCCTGTGAGCCCGGGCTTGGCTGGGGCCGACCCTTGGGCTCTCCCCAGAGCCTGGTGTGTGGGGTGGAGGGGTGTTGCCTCAGCCAGAGGGCAGCACAGAGCTCGGGCCTCGGTTTGCAGCTGCCATCGATGAGGACGTGCTGCGCTACCAGTTTGTGAAGAAGAAGGGCTACGTGCGGCTGCACACCAACAAGGGCGACCTCAACCTGGAGCTGCACTGCGACATGGTGCGTGTGGCCGCCATCCCCACCCCGAGTCTGTGCTCCCTTCCGGGGTCTTAAATCCATAGCTGCCCTTGGTATGCGCTTGTGGTAGAACGAACGTTCCACTTGGTCCCTAGAAGGCCTGGTGCCTGCAGTTCCCTCCCCGGAAGGGACCCCGTTAGCCGCGCACTGTTCTGGGCAGCGGCGTGTGCACCCATCACACGAAAGGGGTCAGGCTACACACACACACACACACACACACACACACACACGCCCCTGCCCCCCACTTGCTCGAGTGTCTGTCGGCGGCCCTCGCTCAGGGTCACCGCAGATGCAGGTGTCCGCCGTTCAGCCTCACGGGTCCTGCTCTACCACATCCGGGCCGTGCAGCTGACCGGCACCCCTGCCTGATAAGGGCCCCGGGTGGTGCTTGCCATCCTCCCATCGGCAGCTCCTCACCTCACAGAAGTATCTGGGCTGTTTTGTAGACGCCAAAGACCTGTGAAAACTTCATCAAGCTCTGCAAGAAGCAGTATTACGACGGCACCATCTTCCACAGATCCATCAGGAACTTTGTGGTGAGTGACGACGAGAGTCCGCACTGCCTGCAGATCTGCGCGTCTGTGGAGGCCGTGGGACTCCTGGCCAGGGCGAGTGCCGCAGGTGACTCCTGTGAGTCCTACCCGTGAGCCCCTCCTCCTCAGGGGCAGGGAATGTGCGGGCCGACCCCCGCGCTGGGCTCCTGAGGGAGGTGGCCCGGGAGGGCTCTCTCACCAGAAACAGGTGGGGAGTTTATTCAGGCGGCGGTGGGCAATGGCCAGGGCCGGGCGGGGCCTTGGGCTCATGGGGCGCGGCTTGCTGACTGGCTTTGATTCCTCTCACAGATCCAGGGGGGTGACCCCACCGGCACAGGCACAGGTAGGCCGAGGGCTTCCCCGGCAGCTTTGGCTTCTCTGTAGGCCATGGGGGTGCAGTTGGGGGGTGCCGTGCTGAGAGTTCCAGATGTGGAATCTGATAGGCCAGCCATGAACCTGCTGTGTGACCTCAGGCACATTCCTCAGTTTTCTCACTTTAAGAGGGTTGCAAGGTCTAGATGGTTGGGGAGAGGCAACACGATGCCCTCTGGCCGCTCTAGAGACCGCTCTGGGCCTGTTGGCTCCGAGGGCCCAGGCCGCTCCCTCGCCCAGTGTGGTGTGAGCAGTCATGACCTGCAGCTTCCACCCTTTACTTTACTCCTTGTACTAGGCGTCCAGCCGCACGCAGGGTTCCGAGGGGCCGGGGGGCTGGGGAGGGATCCATGGGGAGATGGTGATGAGGGTCCCTCGGGGCCAGGGCTGCCTTCTGAAGTACTCGGTGGTGCCCCCCGGCACTCAGCACACATTTCTGGAGCTGGGCTGTGTCCCACTGGCGGCGCTGGGCCGGGACCCGGCATCGGTGCTGCCAGCCATGCTGCTTCCTCTTGCAGGCGGGGAGTCATACTGGGGAAAGCCCTTCAAAGACGAGTTCCGGCCCAACCTCTCGCACACGGGCCGGGGCATCCTCAGCATGGCCAACTCGGGGCCCAACGCCAACAAGTCTCAGTTGTGAGTCAGCGGGGGCCTGTGGGTGGGTCCTCCCTCTCAGCTTTTCCTAAAGGGTGTGCTCAACCTGAATCCCACCCAGAAAGCGGGCAGTGCCCTGGGGGAGACTCCTACCACCCCCTTTCCCCCCCTACTCCCGTGTGTGTGCCTTGTGGCACGTGCCCACGAAGGAACGTGGGTGGTTGCTCAGAGACCCAGGGAGGCCGCAGGAGGTGGCAGATGCTGGCCCCAGGCAGGGGTGGGGTGGGGGGCGGGGGGTGGCCTAGGATGTGCACTGCATTTATAGAAACGGGGAGACCTGGGGAGGGTGTGAGAATTGTGCTTGCAGCGGTGATAATGGCTGATACGTGCGACACCCAGGCTGGTCCTAGCAGGTCAGCCGAGGGGGTGAGAATGGGCTGGAAGTACGGGCCTGGGTGGCCCCGTGTTCTGATGGAAAGGCAGGGGATGAGGGCCCAACGGGAGTGAGTGTGGGGAGGGGAGCGGCCAGACCCAGCCTGGCAGGGGAGGGGGTGGAGGGGCGTCTTCGGGGTAGTGGCAAGACAGTTTTCTGGAGGAGCCTCACGCCGTGGGGTGGGCAGGACGGGGGAGATCCTTCTGCGCAGCGTGGTGGCCGGTGATGGTGGCACTGGGAGTGACAGCTTTCCTGCACATTTGATGGGATTCCCCTGCAGAACCGTCCGGTTGGGTGGAATGGGGGTGCCCATCCAGCCAGGGTTTCTCTTGACCTGTCTGTCCTTCCCTCTCTGGGAGCTGTAGGAGTTCACCTGAGTTTCATTATTTCTGATTTTTAAAAATTCTTTGTTTCTGCTTGTTCTTTGTCGACTCTTTCCTCTTCGTTTTTTATGAGGAGGTTTGTATTTTTCTTCAGAGCTTTTTAGATTAGGCATCTGTATTCCAGATATTTTTTTCCAGGTATTTCCAGTTGGAAAAATCGCCCATAGTATTTTAAAATATATTCCAGTATATATTTTGAGCCACCGAGGTGCCCCTAATTTGATATTTTAAAATCAAAATTCTTTTACAATTCCATTGTTCATATAGAGAAAGTCTATTTTTGGGGGCGCCTGGATGGCTCAGTTAAGCATCTGCCTTCAGCTCAGGTCATGATCCAGGGTCCTGGGATCGAGTCCCGCCTCGGGCTCTCTGCTCAGCGGGGAGTCCGCTTCTCCCTCTCCCACTCCCCCTGCTTGTGTGCATGCACTCACTCACTCTCTCTCTCTCTCTCTCTGAAACAATCTTTTTTTAAAAGGTCGATTTTAGATCTAACTACTTTATTAAATTCTCTTATAATTCGAATAGTTTTTATTAAGAGTGGCTTGGGTTTCCTAGATACTCATGTTTATCAGCACAAGGCGGTGTTCCGCTCTTCCATCGTGAACACCAGTCCCCTCACGGTCAGGCCTGTAAGGACAGGACATGGGCTGGCCAGGTTACATGCTGTTTTGCCATCTGATCAAATTTGTTGCTGGGCCTACTTTTTGGGAGAGGCTGTGTTTCCAGATGCTTTTCTCTTAGCATCTGTTACTCTGGTCAGACCGTTTTCTCTTCCTTCTGGAATTTGTGGGTAGAAGCTCTGCGTTGACCAGCCTTGCTGTCACTGTTTTGTCCTGGAGTAAACCTGGGCTGGTCTTCACCGCACCGGCTGGTCCGCCGGCCACTGCTTTAGGCCGCGTGCCGCAGTCCTCACCCCAGAGCCGGGGCTGGCTGGTTGGGCCTGAGGCCCAGCGTGCCTGGGGAGGGTTAGCTTACATTAGGGTCTGCTTGGTAAGGTAGCTTGCCAAGGACAGCTTTTGCGGATTCTTCACGCTAATTCATTAGTCAGGTTCCACTTTGTGCGCCATCTGGGTAGCTTCTGTTTTGCCAGAATGTAACTGGTCCATCTCTAGATTTCTAAACTTCCCCGTGGTGTCTGCATTCCCGCTCTCCTTAATGGTTTACGGAGGGCTTTTCTGGTTTTATTTTATGTAATTTCCTTCTGTTTCTGTCTTCACTGGCTTCCTCCGGTTTCTCTCCTTTCTCAGGCTCCACCTCCGCAAACATCCGAATCTGCACGTGCTGACGGCACGCGCTTCCCCTTCCCTGTTTTCTTAGGTCAAAGAACGAATCATAGACTTTACTTCCTTTTTGATACATCTTTGTTTGCCCTGTTATTGCTTGTCTTTCCTTCTCTTCAGGACTATTTCGTTCCCTTTTAAGCTTCCTGACCTGTGTTAGAAACGCATGGCAGAGAGACCCACTTGGTGGCCAGAGTTCAGGTCTGTACACTTGTGGGTGTTGGCGTCTGTGGAGACTTGCCCGCTGGCCGTGTCTGGTCAGGCCTGGTGGGCTCCGAAGTGGTGCTGTCCCCGGTGGAATGGGTTTCAGCCTCTGTCCCTTGCCGACTGTGTGTGCCGTGGGCCGTCGGGACGTGGGCGGCATCGTTCGGTGGCCTGGCCCACACTGCTTCTCTCCATCCCTTGTTAGACCTCTCTTTCCGTTCTTTTACTTGGAGCTTTCCAGTTTCTCGACATTTTAGGGCTGTCTTTTTCATGACACACACTTAGATTTGGGGTTATTTTAATTCAAACTGACGGTCTTAGGTTCGTACTTAACTTTCCAGTCAGTATCCATATTTTCTGTTATCCTAATTCATACTTCCTGGTCCCCCCCCCCTTTTTTTTAATATTTCCTTTCTTCTTTTCTCTTTCTCCTGCTTTGGAAGTTAAGTGTCACTTCTGGCTTTAAGTAGATTTAAAGTCTGCAGTTACCAGTTAATCTCTCTCTCTCCCTCCCTCGCAGACAGACCCTGCCCGCGCCGTCCCCCCAGCCCAGCCAGCTCCCATGTTCAGATAGTTGGACATTTAAATTTTACTCATTTCTACACCAAATTCAATGTGAAAATTTACTAGGTCAGCATTTAGGGGTGTTTACCCACGTTCCTCGGCGTCTTTGCTCCCTTTCCTGCCCGTCTCCTTTCTTTCAGTTCAGAGTCCCTGCTTCTCCAGCTGCTGTCACGATGGGACGGGCTCTGGTGTCCAGTCCCCCCCTCTGCCTGCGGGCTCTGGTGGTGTCTGTCCGCCAGAAGCTGGCAGCAGCTGGGGCTGGAGGCAGAGCTGGGGTCCTGGTGCCCTGGGCGGCCTTGGCTGACAGCCTGCCCTGACCAGGCAGGGTGTGGGGGCCACGCACACAAGGAGCTCCAGCTTCCCAGAGCTGCTTTGGGGGGACGGGGGTGCCTGGTGTGTGCCCAGAAGTCTTGGGGGCCAAGCAGGCTGCGGGGGGGCAGCTCACAGGCGCTTCCCGATTCCCCTTCTCCCCCTCGCCCAGCTTTATCACCTTTCGCTCCTGCGCGTACCTCGACAAGAAGCACACCATCTTCGGGCGGTAAGGTCTGGGGTGCTGGTGCGGGTGGGACCCCCTCACTGCCTTGCCCCCACACCTGGCTCAGTGCCTGCTTGCCCCCACAACCATCACTGCCGCGGTCACGGCCACACAGAAGTGGGGACTTGGGCCTTTCTGCTGGCCAGCCGAGGGGCGGGCCGCTCTAGTCCCCTCTGGCCAGCTGCCGTGTCCAAAGTCGCCCCCCTCGGCTCTCCTCTGGCTGGTTCCAATTTGCAAGTCTGGGCCACGTCCTCTCCTGTCTGCCCTCTCGTCCTGTGAAGGCCCAGATGGTATTTCCAGCTTGTGGCCTCATGGCGTGTCACACCCCTTAGCTCGGCAGCCTGTCACACAGAAGGCGCTAGGGTGCACGGAAGCAGTGTGAGGACCCGGGGCCCGCTGGCCCTGCTCTGACCGCCCCCCACCCCAGGCCGGGCCCCTCGTCCCTGTGGCACCTTCTCAGGCCCATCCTCTGCCCCCCTTCCTGCCATGCCACAGGGACTTGGCTTTTGGGGGTGCCCTGCCGTGGGGCACACTCAGAGGGTACCCCTGTCCCTTGGCCACAGGGTTGTTGGGGGCTTTGACACACTGACAGCCATGGAGAACGTGGAGAGTGACCCCAAAACCGACCGCCCTAAGGTATGTGCCAAGGGAGAATGGGGGACCGCCGCCCAGGCTGGGCACCGGGCAGGCGGGTTTGGAGGGGCCTGCTCCCTCCTGCCGTCCCCTCACTTGCTCCCCTCTGCTGCTAGGAGGAGATCCGCATCGACTCCACCACGGTGTTTGTGGACCCCTACGAGGAGGCCGACGCTCAGGTGAGGGGGCCACGAGGCGGGCAGGGGCTGCGGGGACCCTGCCCAACCTGCGGGGCTCCGGGCCAGCTGTCGCCGTGCTCCGTCACAGATTGCTGAGCAGCGCAAGACGACACAGCTCGAGGAGGCAGCCCCAGAAAGCACGGGAAAAACCCACCAGCCCAAGCCGGGGAGCCAGGGCCCCCAGACGTACCGCCAGGGGGTGGGCAAGTACATCAACCCAGCGGCCACGTGAGTGTGGTGAGGGCGCGCGTCCCATCTGCGTGCTGCTCTCCCAGTGCCCACGGGTCAGATGCCGCCCGTGGCGAGCGAGCACCGGGCACCGGGGGGCGGGGCGGAGACACTGTGCACGAGGACCCCGGGCGTATGTGACTGTGACCTCACACCGAGCAGGTGCTGCGGGAGGGCGTGGGTTCCCAGCGCGGGGGACTGGTCCGCGCCCAGCAGCTAGAGCGAGTCTCTGCTTTCCAGGAAACGGGCAGCAGAGGAAGAGCCTTCCACCAGCACAGCTGTCCCCGTGGCCAAGAAAAAGCCCAGCCGAGGCTTTGGGGACTTCAGCTCATGGTAGCAGCTGGTCTGCCCCTCTGGAGCCCCGGAGGGACTCAGGGCTGGGGGCCTGTGTCCACACCACAGAGTTCTCTGCCCTTCCGACTACAGCTTACTAAAGCTCTTGCTTGTTGCCGGAGTCCCCTTTCCTGGCCCTCGGAGTCCACGGGCCTTCCCAGCCTTCACTTGGTACGGTGGCCCCGGGCCGAGCCCGAGCCCACGTCTTGGACTGCCAGGCATGGGCTGTGGCAGAAGGCAGAGTCTCCTGCCTCTGGCTCTCCTACCCTCCCGCACCCCGTCTGCGTCCTCTCGGGGACTGTTTACTCAGTGGGGCCCCTGGGACCTGGTTAGAAACACAGGCTCGCAGAGCCCGGACCTCCTCCTCTGGGGCCGCGGGGTGGGCGCTGCACCTGTGTGCTGCCACACGCTGGGGAGCTCCTGCCGCCCGTGGCTTGAGGACCCTGACCAGAGCCGGTCCAGGTGGGGGCTGCGCCCAGGACCCCCTGCCCCTCTGCCTCAGGATGGTAAGCGGAGCGCACGTGGGAGCCGCTGCCCACCCCCCCGCCCTCCCGGGCCTGACTGTGCTCAAACACTTGACCCCTCACCCCAGCACTAGGGCTTCCAGACCGGCCTCACCAGTGTTTCCGGACTTAAAGAATCCCTTCCCTTGATTTTATTTTTCTATAAATGTAAAAAAAAAAAAGAAAACCCTTAACATTTGCAGGCCCGCCCTTTGTTTTCTGTTCATTCTGTAGCCTGTGCCAGCGTGGCTTCCCTGCTCCTGACCTTGACGCCACTACCTCGGCTTTCCCAGAGCACCTCTGCAGAAGCGTGGCGACAGCTGCTCACCCCTCACACGCACTCCGAGGCCTGTCGTCCTCGGGTCGGCACGGGCCATGACCCCCCCCCCGCAACCAGCTGGTCACACTGCAAACTTCAGGCTCGGTCCTTGGTTCTTCTTTCCTTCACCCAAACCTCAAATCCATCAGCAAGTGTCCACAGCAGCTCCAGAACATACCTGGACTCCCCCTTTTCCACCTCTGATGCTGAACCCCAGACCCAAGCCTGGTCTCTTGCTGCCTCCGTTCAAGCCCCTCGTGCACGTCCACGCAGGTGCCACCTGGGCCCCCTTCCCAGAGCTCGTCTGCCCGCTGTCCTCTTGCTTCACGCCAGTCACGGGCTGTCCTGTGTGTGGAGAACAAGGTCTGTGCTCCCCACGCACCCTGTCCCTCTGCAGTCCTCTGCCTGTGGCTGTAGCCAGGGGCCGGGCCTCTAGAGAGCGCCCGCTCACCCCTCTGCCCGCGGCCAGGCCCTCGTCGTCCTCCCTCACGACCTCCTCACCACGACCCGTCGCGGCTCCACCGAGACATCAGTTAGCTGCTGAGAGGCTTACACTCCAGTGTTTGTGCCCAGGATGCCTCCAAGAGCCCGTTCGCCCAGGAGAGGGCTGCGCGCAGGGACAGCCGTGTAAACGCACAGCTGCCGGTGGCTCAGGGTGCGGGTGGGGGTGGAGGCCCTGGAGAGGGAGGGTCCCAGGAGGCTCCCGGACTTCTCAGCCTTTAGGGGCAGGGGGAGCTCAGGTGAGGCTTTCTCGGGCTACGTGCACCAGCCCCCCACCCTCCTCCCAGACTTGCCGGGTGGGGAGCCCGGTGGCTCATGTCACCACATGGGACCAGAGTGGACACAGGAGGAGCTCGGAGACCCCAGACCCAGCTCCCAGCATCGGAGCAGAGCGCCCGAGACAGGAGGTGCTACCGGGAAGGACACCATCTGACAGTGGAAGCTTTATTTTTCAACCTCACAAAGACACAGAGGACAGAGGGCTGGACATGGAGGCTGAAGGAGGCTTGTGCATGTGAGCGTGGCAGTCCTGCTCCAAGGGGCAAACCTTCTGGCTGCTGTCCATCTGTCCGTCCTTCCAGCTGTGCCCAGCGACCACACCTACCTGGCCCAAGGCATGACGGCCAGGCCACCCTGGGCTGCAGGTGCACCCAAGAGCCTTTCACAAAGGAGGGTTTACATTGCTGTAGGTCGTTTTGGAACTTAAATTAGTTTAGTTTTCTAGATATTAAAACCACTTGGATTTTATAAGTACCTGGTGAGGTCCTCAGGTAAAGGGCTTTTGGAAAAATTCCCATGTCTGATCTTGCCTAATATCTGACAGATGCCATCAAGAATAAGCATTAGGTACAAAAATACTATATATATGTATATATAAAATGGCAACAAAACTAAACCACACTTCTAAAGCAGATGTGCTGTGCCAGAGAACACTACATAGTTTAAGTTAAATGCATTTATGATCCTGGCATCACCTCCCATTCTTTAAGGAAAAAAAAATTTTAAATAATTTAAATAAAAGTCACAGGATGATATTTACTGTTCAGGAATTTAAGAGGGTGGAACATTCTAACACTTCACCAGCACATCTGGTTGTGGTCTCGTGAATGTCCTTCCCTGAAGCCAGCTCACAGTCCGTTCATTTGGTTTTGAAAAGAGCTTGGATTTCTCAGAAGACCAACAAAAAAAGTGGTAAGCGTTTTCGTTGGTATCAATTACAAAAAAAAAAAATATACAAAGTAAGGCCTAAGACCACTAGTAAAAATGTTTCAATGCCATCACAAAAGACAATACAAAAACCAAAGTGCTCAAATCGAAGGAGCAGTAAACTTGCCCAGAACATACAAAAGCTTTAAATATAGGTTTAGTATACACAAAACTCGGTCAGAAGAATTCGAGATTCTTCAGTTTAAGTGAAGAGCTTGGGAAGCGCTCGGGAGCCCTGCCCTCGGCGTCCCCGCGACCCCCCCCCCGCCCCCCCGCCCCTCATCCTCTCCAGGCCTCGGGCGCAGCACGGAGGCTCACGGAGGAACCAAGGCGAGAAGAGAAACGTCAGTTTAGGCCATGTTTTCAATGAGTACTCACTCCTCAATGAAGGGGCCTTTCTGTCCTTTCAAAGTGGCCGTTAGGGACCGAAGCTGCAGATGTCCACGCTGCACGTGGCCAGGTCGAGGGCGAAGCGTCTTCGGATTTCGGAGCATGGCAGCGAGTGCGCCACGCGTGTGCGGGCCCGGGTGCCTGAAGGCCGTACAGCTGAACGTGAACTTAGACACAAGGGGACTGTGCTGGGACAACCGAAATCTGCGGGGGACGCCAGCTCGGGGAAGAGCAGCCTGCTGGAGTACCTGCACGCGCAGAGGCTCACGCAGCTGTACAAAGATCTGCCCTTGACACTTGGAGACGTGCGTACGCTAACTCGGGCGCCGCGTCTCCCCACATCCCAAGGCTTCGCTCTGAGCCAGAAAGGGTGCCAAAAGGGAAGCTCTAGGGGAGCAGCTGTGCCAGAACCAGTCAGGCGAGCCCAGTGCCTGCCAGGGCCATGGGCTCTGGGCTCAGGGGAGGGCTGGGGGGAGGGAAGGGACCTCCCAGGGACCGGAAGCCATTCTCTCGCCCTCCCTGGCCAGCTCACACTTGCCCCTGGGCTGACCTTCCCTGCAGGTGGTTTCAGAGCCGCGGGCCAGGGTGCACTGCCCTTCTGTCTCCCTGCCTCGCTGGGCCCTTTTCCTGCCCCCAGCACCAGGGTCTCAGGAGTTTCATGCCATGCTACACGCAAGGCCCCACCAGACTCCTGGAGCAGCAGGCTGGGCCCAGCAGCTGGAGTCAGGTCAGAATATTGAAAACCAAAACTTACTTGGGAATGATTTTTGGCCTCCATTCTCTGAAAACTGGCCATAACCCTGCCTTGTGCCCTCTCCCTGCAGAGGCACAGGTGGATTGGAACTTAAAATACATTGCAGAGACACAGGGCGTAGAAGACTGCCCAGGTCCCTTCTGTGTCAGCTCAAGAGGCAGAACCAGTGGGGCACGGGAGACCCATATTCATTTACAAAGTTTAAATCTGTTTTGGAACTTGACTTTCCTGAAAAATTTTCAAAATAATCTCCCAAATTTCAAGTTTGGAAGTTCATCCCGCTAGTTCTGGCCTCTTTCATATGCAACAGTAATTCTTTTTCTTCAAGTACAACAGAATAAAAAAGGAAATCCGATTTGACTCGGTCCAGTGCGTTAACCTCTAACTGCGTGGACCGCCCCGTCAACGACTACCACAGAAGCCCCACTTCCAGAGCCCTGCGGGACTGCAGCCCTACGCACATGCGCACCTGCGGCCCGCTGGGACAGTCTTTGCTAACGCTTGCTTTCTAGATAAGGAGGCTGTTGGCTTAAATAAACAAGATGTTCCATTAGACAGATTTCTCTATTTATAGCTTATCTAAAATGTAATCAGTGGTGTCTTCTAGTTCTCAACAAGGCTTTAAAAAAAAAAAGGTCCCTTGGTGTATAGATTTCTTGACTGTTTCTGGAAGATTCCTAAATGAGCACTATGCCTTAACAGCTCATCTGCAAGAGGACTAACCCATCTGTAGTTTCACAAATTAGAAAAAAAGTGGCCTACAGTACCCTCGCTCAAAAAAAGAGGGGAGTGAGCTTGCTCCCCGAAAAGCCCCTAACCCTGTGGTCCGTGGAAATTTGGTTTGGTTTTCTATCAAACATGAAGGAGCACAGGCAAACTCTCTCTTAAAAGAAGGTATTAACTAGACAGGTTAAGTCATCAGTTGGTTAATTCTTTCTCTAGAACTTGAGAAGTTAGCAAAAGGTCATTGAAACATTTCAGAAACAGCCATGTATGTCAACAGGAGAGAGGCTGGAGGGACACCTTACCACCTGAACGGCCGGGAGAAGCCAGCCCGCCGTAAGGTTCAAGTTCAAGAAATACTGTCATCCAGGATGCCTCCGTTACGCTTACAGTCTCTTTCACAAAATAGTATTCGGAAGAGAACAAAGTTTTCACTTTACTCCCAACCATTGTCTTTGATCATGTGGGCAAGCTCAATAATAAATTTTCCTTCCTTATATTTCTGACTGCTTTCAAAGGCATGTTCCTTGAAAAAGAAAAAAAAGTAGAAAGAAGGTTTCAGGGCAGAATTGATTTCACTTTTCAAGTTCATTACACTCTTGGCAAAGAAAATAAGTGTATGAGATCAAGTCTCCCCAGGTGTTCCTTGTTCTGCGGACCAGGGACGGGGGAAGGGTCTGTCTCGGTGACAAGCCAGGGTGGGCCAGGACAGTCCAGCTCTACTCCTTACCTTACAGATCAACTCACAGGGGAGGGTAATTCACGTTTGTCCCTGAGCATCTACCATGCGCAAGGCAATTTGGGAGGTAGGAAGAGGAGCAAGATACTCCTTGCAGGGACTGCAGGTAAAAGGCAAGTGAAGGCAACTATACCAAGCACCCAGGGATTGTTCAAGATGTTGGAGGAAGAGAAGACCCTCAGATGGGCAGTGAGGGTGGAAGAGAATAGGGCTTGGTGGTGTGTGTGGGGGGGTGGGGGGCAGTGCATGCATGTGCACGCTTGCGCAGGCCTCACGGAGCCCATCTCCATGCTGGGGACTGCGTCTCCTCATGTGTGATGGGGAATACGGAGAACAGGAACAATCAGGAATTCTAGGAAGAGGGAGCACAGGTGGCCCTGACCAAGACGGCCAGAATGGCTGCAGAGGACAACTGAATGAAGGCAGGCACCAGCCACGCCCACATGCACCTCTCGGATGCCACTAGGGGTGGTCAGGGGCACTGGGGACAAACTTGGGAGTCAACGGGAGGGGTGGGGAACAATGGGAGCAGGGAGTGTGTGTGTGTGGGGGGGCTGGGCAGAAGCTGCCCATGGGCCAAGCCCCCCGTGGGCTGGCAGCAACTGCGCCGAGCACCGCAGTGGGGTCCGCTGTCACTGCTACCGCAAAGTAACGTCACCAGCCACCTGTGTGGGGGACACTCCCCTCGTTCCAGGGGGCCCTCGGAGGGCACAGGTCTGCAGGGTTGGGCCACATGCTCTCCCAACCAGCGTGGCTGTCACCCCTGCCCTGGGAGTGAGGTGAGCGTGGGGACCTCCATCTTTAATCAGCTCAAAAGAGATTCTGTTACGAGAACATGGATTTTCTGACACTTCCAGCGGGAGGTCTTATTCCTTTGCAAATTTTGTTTCTGTGACGTGTGTTTTATTCATCGTGGTAAGTCTGCGCAGTCTCCGTGAGGCCGGTGTGGACGGGTACTCACATATTTCCACCCGAGCGTGGTTTTGCAGTTTTCACAGTAGATGTCTGCGACCGCGTGCAGACCAGTGAGAAGGACCCTCTCCTCTGCGGGGCCGCAGCCCACATTCACCCTGCAGGGGAGGAGGCAAGGACAGCGCTCAGGATCCCCCCACAACTCTCCACCGGCCCCCCTCCACCCCGCCATGGATGGTTCTTTCTCCAGCTAACTGGTTACCAGAGGCACCGCGCCCTGCCCACCACCTTTCATGAGAAGGAACAACTTTATTTCCCCAGGAGAATCCCAAGATGGCATTCACAGTGACCACAGTTCTGTATGGAGCGTGGTTATAATCAAACCCACCACAAACGGGTCACAGACCACACCGTGTGTGGGAGCTCGTTCTCAGATAAGACCACACCCCTCCCCCAAACTCTCACACTAGAGAGAGAGAAATTCCTGAAGATTATATCAAAACACTGGGTCATTCTAGGGGCACCTGAGTGGCTCAGTCAGTCAAGCTCCCTGCTCAGCAGGGAGTCTGCTGCTCCCTCTCCGTCTGCCCCTCCCACCAACTCGTGCTCTCTCTCTCTCTCTCCCCCCCTCTCAAATAAAATCTTAAGGAAAAAAAACCAAAAACAAAACCACTGGGTCACTCTAGCCCACTGGGGAATTCTATCTACATATTCCAGCTTTGAGTAATTAAAGTGCAGGGATGGACAGAAGCACTCAATGTGATCTGACCATGAACACAGCATGGCCAGTGGCAGTAGTACTCACACAGAATTGAAGAGGTAGGCTCGTCCCTGACTTCCCTGAAAAGACTGCAAAGAAGAAAAGGTTTTAACAGATTTATTGCGGTAAGATGAAGAGTTTGGCATTTTGGGATGAAGGTGGAGAGACTGTTTCAGGTCATGGACCTCAACGTGAGTGGAAGGGCCGCCTTGCGGGGCGTTTCGAGCAACGCTCAGGAGGAGCAGTGACCATAGGCCCCCAGGGCCCCGGACCCCACACAGGACCCAGAAGTCACAGTGCTCCTAGAGCCCTGGAGGGCTGCTCAGCGTCCCGATTCCCCCGGCCAGGACAAGCAGCACCACCGTGGTCAGACAGTAGGGGTGAGGGGATGTTCCCATGCTTTTCCACTGAAATTTAAAGCAAAACCACATCCCAAGATGACCCCTTACTTGGAAGAAGGGACCTTCCAGTGACATCTCCCCCAGGAAAGTGCTATAAGCCAAAGAACGGCTGGTAGCACACTCATGTCGTCTGGGATGGTAAAGGAGGGAGGATGGGGTATGATCGGGTCAGTTCCAGACTTAGCGCCCGCATCCTTCACTCTCTGAGTTCCCTCTTAGGCAGATGGGGGGCTCGTCCGCTTTGGTGCCAGGCTCGTGACCGAAGGGAACACAGGGACCTCAAAAATAACCAAATCAAGAGAACTTTTTTTGTTTTTTTTTTTTGCCTATCACCTCAGCACAAATTCAAAAGACAGTGAGGAATGTTGACTGGAGCAGAGGATGACAATATCTAAATGTAAGAGGCACACGCTGTGTGACCAGCTGCCCCACTCCCAAGAATCCACTATCAAGACAAACAACCAGAGCGCACAGGGAAATGTGTGACAAGAATGGTCACCAGTAAGTGTTTGCAATTGCAAAAAGGTGGGACAGCGATACCCACCGACAAGTGAGCAAACAAGGGCACTCACGTCCAGGACTCAGGCAGACATTAAGAGGGGGACGGAAGCAGCTGGGCACGAGAGGGTATGAGAAGAGAGAGACCCTGGGAAGTGAAGGAGAGAGCTATCCATAAAATGCCATGTCGTGGGGGCCCTTCAGTTAAAGGGAAAACCATAGGGCACCTGAGTGGCTCAGTCGTTGAGCATCCGCCGTCAGCTCGGGTCATCATCTCAGGGTCCTGGGATGGAGCCCTGCAGTGGGCTCCACACTCAGTGGGGAGTTTGCTTCTCCCTCTCCCTCTGCCCCTCCCCTGCTTATGTGCCCTCTCTCTCAAATAAATAAAATCTTAACAAAAGGGAAAAGGGAAAACCGTGGTCTTACAGAGGAGAGAGAGACCATGCATGCCACATTACTAACAGAGAAAAGCAGAAGGAATGGAGTCAGGGGTAAGGAGGGGAAAGCAGATCCGTCCCTGCCTCACATGCACGTGACACTGAGCTGTGCCAGGACTCGCAGTCCCTTCCACGAGTAGAGAGCAGTGGCCCCCGCTGACCCCAGACACGCGTTCGCTGGAGCAACACAGAGACCCCCGTGCTAAGCCACTAAGCCACTGCAGTTTGGGGGCTCTTTGTTATGCAGCATAACCTAGCCTGAGGTGAGCAGTGTTCTGATTGAAATATACAGCTTTCAGAGGAAAAAAAGGGGAAAGAAAAAGGAAAAAAGAAAAAAAAAAAAAAGAGGGGCACCTGGGTGGCTCAGTCGGTTAAGCATCTGGCTTTGGCTCAGGTCATGATCTCAGGGTCCCATGTCGCGCTCCCTGCTCAGTGGGGAGTCTGCTTCTCCCTCTGCCCCTCCCCCCACCCTTCTCGCTCTCTCTCACTCACTCTCTCTCATTCTCTCTCAAATAAATAAAATCTGTAAAAAAGAAAAAAAAGAAAAACCCTTTATAAGAGTTTCCCTTTCAACTGGCTTTCTAGAATTAGGAATATTACTTGATGTCCAATTTAGCAAATAATCCACTTACGGGCTTCCCCCCACATCTTTATCAGCCTTCAGTTCTGTAGACCAATTTTCCTAATCCTCTTGCCTACTCTGCAAATTCTCCCGCCTCCCCCGCAAATCCTTATTTTTTTTTAAACAGAGTTGGGATCAGTGATGTGGCTAGATCTGTGGCTCGGCTTTAGACAGAATTCAGACTAGAGTGGGGCCCGCAAACCTCCGTAAACGAGGGCCCGCTGAGCAGCGTTTTAGGCTCTGGGGGCCGCGCAGCCTCTGCGGTCAGGACTCTGGTGCCCCGGTGGGCACGACGGCAGTCCTCTGCGCTGTGGAAACACATGGACGTGGCGGTGGCCCAATAAAACGTCACGGAAACAGGTGGTGCGCTGGCCGTGGCCCACAGATAAAACCAGAGCCTTCCAACGACGAGACCCCCCTGCCCCGAGAACGGCTCCCGTGCGTGGGCCACGGCATCACTGACTGACAAAGACGGCCCGAGAGGCGGGTGAACCCCCGTCAGGACCCCTGCCCTCAGGCGAACCGGCTTCTGCTCTACGTGGGAAGTGCTACGGACAAACAATGTAGGGAAGAAAAAGGGGCCGCTGCCTGGACCACCCGCTGAAGCGCGAGGTCCGACGCCCCTCGGCAGCCCGTGTGCTGGGGGCGCCCGGTTCCCGGCAGGACTGTGCTCGGGTGAGGTCACGGCTATCTCCACCTCGCGGGCCTCTCTCTACTCTTCGGGTAATCAGAAAACAGCGTAATGGGGCACCTGGGTGGCTCAGTCGGTTAAGCGTCTGCGTTCGGCTCAGGTCATGGTCCCAGGGTCCTGGGATCGCCCCACATCGGGCTCCCTGATCAGCGGGAAGCCTGCTTCTCCCTCTCCCACTCCCCCTGCTTGTGTTCCCTCTCTCAATGTCTCTGTCAAATAAATAAAATCTTTAAAAAAAAAAACAGCGTAATGGCTCTCGGGCTCGTTCAAACAAGCATCTCAAATTCCTTTGGGCCCACCTCAGCACGGGTCCTCGCCGCACGCTTCAGAACAAGGGCCGTGATGGCGCCCGACGCCGCCGTCCCGGGCTCTGGGGGGCCACCAAGGCCACGTGGCTCCCTGTGGAGGCCCCGCAGCGGCTCTGCCCTCCGCGAACTCAGACGCCGTGACACACCCGGAGCCTGCCTCGGAGGCCACGGAGAATGGACAAAGGAGCCACAGCAGAAACTCTGCCTTGTTCCGTGTTTAGGTTTAGATGCTGAACAGAAATGAGACGGCCGCCCATGATTACCTAGTTAAAACCCAAGCAGGTGAGCGTTCTTCTGAGTAAAACAAGAAGCCTAAGCAGAGATTCCTGAGAGGCACAACTTCCTGACAGACTTTGCTTTTGAAGGAGCAAGAGGTTCACATAGCCCAGGAAGGCAGACCTGTGAGATAAAATCTTGGCAGGGGCGGGGGGGAGGTGGGGGGGGTGGGGGGTGGTGGCTGGTGGTGACCCTTGAGGATGGGTAGGAGAGAACGGTCCCAGTTTCCCGAGTCCTTGGGTAAACAGACCAGCAGTGTCTCGTAGAATCTGTCGTTTTAGATGTTCACAAGTGGTTGATCACAGACCTCACATGTTGCCAAAAAGGAGTGCAACTTAATAATAATGAATTGGACTGTTCTTTTCACATCCACGAGGCTGTTCCAGGCCCTGCAGAGTGCCCAGAGCAGCTGCTGGGGGCCTGTTCACAGCATCCCTCCTGGGTATTTTTCTAAAAGATCCAATTGCCCCCATTCCCCCATGATAGCCTGTTTTCTCCTTAAGCATTCTAACATTTCTTAATTTCCCTATTATTAAACTATTTCCCCAGATTTTCTAGACTTCCTTTGTTCCTTCAGTGTTTTTTCGTTTTACATGAACTTTACTGCTCTGGCAAGTAAACTACTCATCTTGCTTTTTGTAATTTTCTGTCCCAGCTGCCTAGCTCTTTAAAACCCACCCACTGTGCAAACACCATGACCAACATCACACCAGGATCACAGTGCAGTCACACTCAATCATGCACAGAACTTTCATCAACGCTGCCCAGAAGGCTCTAGACTTGTAGGAACACAACCGACCCAGGAAGTCATGTGATGGTTAAATGTTCATCTGTGGAGTAGGTATGATCATCCTTAAAAGGATCTCGTCATTTCCCAGACACAAACCACTTGCCTTGGAGATCAGCTCATCGTGATTGGCCAGGTGGGCTCTGCAGTGGACACAGCTGTATGTTCGGTGACAGTTTGGCAGATAAGCTTGGAAAGTTTTGGATTTTGTCATCTTCACCATCTCGGCTGGGCACTCCTCGCTCAGCTCAGGGCTGGCACTGGAAGGCTGGTGGCTCTGCTGGGCTCTCTGACAAAAGAAACACTGAAAGATGCACGCAAGAGCCGTTGTTGTTCGGAGGGCGTGTGGCACTGTCCACACAGCTGGGACGAGAGAAAAATGTCACAACCTGTCAATGAATCAAGACAAAGCAGAGGCTTATGGAGGGAACGAAAATAGTTCAAGGAGGCATGTTTAGGATGTGTGTGTTTTGAGATGGGGCACCTGGGTGGCTCAGTTGGTTGGGCGACTGCCTTTGGCTCAGGTCATGATCCCAGGGTCCTGGAATCGAGCCCCGCATCGGGCTCCCCGCTCAGCGGGAAGCCTGCTTCTCCCTCTCCCACTCCCCCTGCTTGTGTTCCCTCTCTCGCTGTGTCTCTCTCTGTCAATTAAATAAATAAATAAAATCTTAATAAAGAAAAAGAACAAAGGATGTGTGTGTTTTGAGGAATAGGGTTGGGGGGCAGAACTAGATCGGATTCTTTAATTTAATCAGTCACTGTTTCACCATTCTAAATGTCATTGGAAGTGGCAAAGTGAACTACTTTTATATACAAATACTTTGAGAAAAACATCTGATTAAGTATATTTTAGGCTGCATGTAGCTTCAGGAAATGTAAAGAAAGAACAGCCAACAAGCCTCCTGTCTGAGTGAGGCCAGCAGCACTGCACACAGCTTGTCCCGAATCCTGGAATTAATGACTCAAAGCACCATGACATTTACGAATATGCGTGAGGGATCCAGTTTAATTAATCCTGAAGAAGTTACATATCAATCCAGAAACAAACCCTTTATATGGTCAAATGATTTTCGACAAGGGTGCCAAGATGATTCAATGGGGAAAGGGCAGTCTTTTCAATAAACAGTGCTGGGAAAACTGGATAGGCACATGCAAAAAAATGAAGTTGGACCCTTATTTAACACCACATACAAAAATTAACTCAAAAGTAGATCAAAGACCTAAATGTAAGAATGAAAACTATAAACTGTTAGATGAAACTAGAAGGGAAAGCATCCACAACACTGATGTGGCTTAATTTCCTGCAAATGACACAAAGGCCCAGACACATATTTAAATTTACAGAAGGTAAAGTGAGAGAAAAATGGGGCAGAGCACCTGTAGAACACCAAAGAAAGAGAAATAAGTCTTAGAAGGATCCAAAAGGGGAGGGAAAATTACCGAACAACAGAACCCAGAAGGCAGTCGGGGAAGGTACCTTTAAGGTCCTGAAAGGCAATAATGGCTATTCCAGAATTCTATATCCAGTGAAAATATCTTTCAAGAATTCCGGAATGACATTTTCAGACCACTAAAAAGTTTGACTTCTGCAAAATATCACTAAAGGAGGTGCAAGAATGTGCTTCAGACACAAGAAAAACAACAGAGAACGTTAGAGTCTAAAAAAAGGAATGGCGAATAAAGAAGATGGTAAGTCCTTGGGTAAACAGACCAGCAGTGTCTCGTAGAGCTTTGAAAAGATAGGACGTAGGCGGCGCCTGGGCGACTCAGTCGGTTAACTGTCAGACTCTCCATTTCCACTCAGGTCATGATCTCAGGGTCGTAAGTCTGAGTCCGGCCTCAGGCTCCGCACTGGGCGTGGAGTCTGCTAAAGATTCTCTCTCTCTCTCTCTTCTCCACCCCCTCTGCCTCTCTCCCTCCCCTAAAAAAAATAAAAGAAAAAGATAGGACTGTAATACATGAGCACAATAACTCAGGGTGGGAGCTCCGCTGAAAAATTTCTAGAGTCCTTGTATTATTCAAAAAAGTAGATAAAAGTATAGGTTAAGCTTCAGATTCTGGTAAAGTAAGGATACATGTTGTGATTTGGATGAAATTTCTGTAACAACAAAACCTAACTGTGTAACTTCCAAACCTACAAAGGGGCGTATCAGTGAATGATAAAATGTCAGTCTAAAAGGACACAAGAAAGGGGGTGCCCAGCTGGTGGAGCATGCATCTCTTGATCTTGGAGCTGTGAGTTCAACGATTCATCTAGATGCAGTTTATAAGAGACATACCTTAAAATAAGGACACAGACTGGCTGAAAGATAAGGCTGGAAACCTGGATGGTGGCAACACAGACATAGGGTTTATAATTATTTACTAACAATATATTTGTTTTATGTATTATATGTATGTGATTCACAATAAAGAAGTTAAAGTAGTAAAATGATTGGGCATCTGGCTGGCTCTGTCGGTAGAGCATGTGACTCTTGACGTTGGGGTTGTGGGTTTGAGGCCCATGTTGGGTGTAGAGATTACTTAAAAAAAAAAGCAGTAAAAGGACAGAAAAGATACAATATGCAAATAATAAAAGAAAAACCATATTAACATATTAACATTTCCCTTAAATAATATTTAAGGGAAGACTTTACTAGATAGAAAAATGGGTTACTTCATAATGATAAAAATAGCAGGGAAATAAATAGCAAGTGTAAATCTTACTACCTAATAACATAGCCTCAAAATATATAAATCAAACACTGACATAACTTCAAAGAGAAATAGATAAATCTTTAATCAGAATAGGATTACTGGGGGTGTCTGGCTGGCTCAGTCATTGAGCATGCAACTCTTGATCTCAGGGTCGTGAGTTCAAGCCCCATGCTGGGCATAAAGCTCAGTTTAAAAAAAAATAAGATTACTGATTATAGTGTGTAAATGTGGTATACTTATTACATATTTATCTTATACTTAAAATATAGCATATATAGTATAAATATATTTATATTTTACTATGCCTTTCAGTGACTGATAGAACAAACACAAATGATTACGTCCAGAGAGGATGTGCACAATGTGATGAACCTAAAAGACATGGAGAAAACTGTAAGAACTGCAGAATCCACATTCATTCAAAGCACACAAACATTTACAAAAGCCAGCCCTACAACAAGTATCAACCAACTTCCAAAAATTGAAAACACAGTATATTCTCTGACCACAGTACACTTAAGTTAGAAATCAATAGGAAAACAGAACAAGAAAAATCTTTGTATGCTTAGAAATTCAGAAATGTACCTCTAACACAAATAACTGGAAAGATATTCTGTGCTCATGGATTGGAAGAATACTGTTAAAATTCTCATTCGACCCAAAGCAATCTAGAGATTCAGTGCAATCCCTAACAAAATACCAGTGGCATTTTTCATAAAACAAAGGATCCTAAAATATGTATAGAACTACAAAACACCCCAATAGCTAAAGCAATCCGGAGAAAGAGGAACAAAGTTGGAGGTATCAGTCCCTGATTTCAAACTATACGACAAAGCCACAGTAATCAAGGCAGTGCAAAAACAGACACACAGGTCAACGGAATTAATAGAGGGCCCAGAACAAACTCACACATGTACAGCCAATCTAGGACAATGGTGGCGAGAATATACAATGAGTCTCTTCAATAAATGGTCTTGGAGACACTGGACAGCTAGGTGCAAAAGAATGAAACTGGACCACTGTCTTACATCATACACAAAAATAAATTCAAAATGGATTAAAGACTTGAATGTAAGACCCCAAACTGTCAAACTCTCAGAGAAAACATAGGCAGTAAGCCCTCTGACATCATTCTTAGCAGTATGTTTTTTTGCACCAGTCTCCTCAGACAAGGACAACAAAAGAGAAAATAAACAAATGGGATTATATCAAACTAAAAAGCTTTTCCACAGCAAAGGAAACCATCAACAAAAGACCACCTAGGAAATGGGAGAAAATATTTGCAAATCATACATCTGATAAGGGGTTAATATCCAAAATATACAAAGGACTTAACACAAATTAAAAAAAATACTCTGATTAAAAATGGGCAGGGGGGTGCCTGGCTGGCTTGGTTGGAAGAGCATGCGATTCTTGATCTCGGGGTTGTGAGTCCGAGCCCCATGTTGGGTGTGGAGCCTACTTAAGAAAAAAAAAAAAGGGCAGAGGACTTTAATGGACATTCTTCCAAAGAAGACATCCAGATGGCCGACAGACACGTGAAAAGATAGATGACTCAACATCACTCATCATCTGGGAAATACCAATCTAGTTATGATTTTACTGTAGTTTTCAGTAAGCTATCAGCTCACAACTTTCAGATTGGCTATTATCAAAGAGACAAAAAAAAGAGTTGGCGAGACGTGGAGAAAAGGGAAGCAGCCCAAGTGTCCATTGATAGAAGAATGGATAAAGAAGATGTGGCGTATATACATAATGGAATACTATGCAGCCGTCTCACCATGAAATCTTACATGGATCAATGTCAACAGTACTACACTAGGTGAAATAAGTCAGAGAGAAAGACAAATACCATATGATCTCACTTGTGTGTGGAATCTAAACAAAAAAATGAAAGAAAAAACAAAACAGAAGCAGACTCACAGATACAGAAAACAAATGGTTTATTACCGGAGGGGACTGGGTAGGGGGATGGGCAAAATCAGTGAAGGGGATTAAGGGGTACGAACTTCCAGTTAATAAAGAAGTTATGGAGATACAATGTATGGCATAGAGAATATGGTCAGTAACTTTGTAATAACTTTGTATGGGGACAGAGGATACTAGATTTATGGTGGGGATCATTTCATAATGTATAAAAATATCTAGATCAATAAAAAGATCAATATGATGTACAGCTGAAACTAACAGGATATTGTGTGTCAATGATTCTCCGATATTTAAAAAAGTATAATCTGAGGAGAGAAAGGAATGTACCCATGGGTCTAAGAATGGAAATTAGAAGATATTTTTTTTTAAAGATTTTATTTTATTATTCATTTGAGAGGGAGAGAATGAGAGACAGAGAGCATGAGAGGGAGGAGGGTCAGAGGGAGAAGCAGACTCCCTGCTGAACAGGGAGCCTGATGCGGACTCGATCCCGGGACTCCAGGATCATGACCTGAGCCGAAGGCAGTCGCTTAACCAACTGAGCCACCCAGGCACCCTAGAAGATATTTTTATTAATATTAACAAACAATAATAAAATAACTACTTTCTAGTACTTAAAGGGAAATGTATGATTTTATAGGATGTAGATTAGAAAATATGACAGGTGAAATTGATGAGCTCATCTTTTTTTTAAAGATTTTATTTATTTATTTATTTGAGAGAGAGAGAGAGCTCCCAAGTTGAGGGGGAGAGGGAAAAGGAG